GTAAGACAAATGCTCGGTCAACAATTTTTTCCCTTCAAACAAATGCAGTAAATAAAAGAAAAAACTCCGAAGAAAATTAAAAAAAGAAAAAAAAAGAAAAATATAAGCAAATAAAGACGAAAAAAAAGAAGAAAAAACAGACGAAGAATGGTTTCTATAAATACATTCAAACCTTTAAGCATCAAAACAATAATCACAAAATAAAAAAACAGGCGACAAACAAACCTCTGATTTTCCCACCACTATTATTATTATTATTGTTATTATTATTATTATTATTATTATTATATTATTTATATTATTGTTATTATTATTATTATTATTATTATTATTATTATTATTGTTATTGTTATTAGTATTGTTATTATTATTATTATTATTATTATTATTATTATTATGTTTTAACTATTAATACCATTATTACTATCATTATTATTACAAGTACCTTATTTGCTGGTTATGTTTTCGCACATATTTTGTCCACCCGGTTGAATTTTTGGTTTATTCAAACAGCAGCATTGAAAAGTATGACAAAAAAAAATGTTTTCAGCTGATTGAGCAATAAAAAAAATTTTTTTTTGGGAGAATTTTTGGGGAAGAAAAAAAACGAACTCCTTACGTATAATTAATTCAATATAAGTGCTTGTAACACTACTAAAATTAAGGGAAAAAAAACTAGAAAGTTTTTGTTATGGAGATTGAAGGAGGATAATTATCAGCGACAGTGTTCTCAAAAACAAGCAATGAACCGCATTAAATCGAGTTTAACACTTACTAAAAGTGTCAATTTCAATTCTAATTCCAAATTTTGTCAGTCCACTGTTTTCGTCGCCCGCTTTCCCCCATCGTCCACTTTCCCTTTAGCCAATTCATTTTCTCGTCTATTAGAACAAGAAAATTCTTTTTTCTAATTTTTTAATATTTCTCTTAGTTTTTTTATTCAGTAATAAAAAAATATCCGCTATCAAACTCAGCATAACAAAAGAAAATTGAATAATTAATAGTATAAGAAAACACAGCAAGTAAAACATGATATCAAAGACTTTTTTCCACCAGCAAATCCCTAAAAACT